GACAGAGACAGAGACAGCGAGAGCAGGAACACAAGCAGGGGGAGTGGGAGAGGGAGAAGCAGGCTTCCCGGCGAGCAGGGAGCCCAATGTGGGACTCGATCCCAGGACCCTGGGATCATGACCTGAGCCGAAGGCAGACGCCCAACGACTGAGCCACCCAGGCACCCACGACTGAGCCACCCAGGCGCCCTGCTTTATTATTTTAAAAGTTGGGTGTGTAATAGAAGCAAATGTGGCAAAATATTAACATTTGTCAAATCTGGATGGATGCCTGGATTTCTCTGATAGTCTTTTCTACATTTTTCTATACGTTTTAACGTTTAAAAATTAAAAACAATGAAAAGAAGTTACGGAAAATAATGTGTATTCACTCACTGTGCAAGCAGGAAAGCCTCATTAACTAGAAAGTAGTCCTGGAGGAGGCTGGGATTTGCTTATTAAGGCCCCACGACCCCAGAGATACACGAACACTTGTAAATAGTGGGGAGGGGATGACTAAGGCGTGCTGAGCACTCACTCTGGGCTCAGTACTGTCCTAAATGCTTTACGTGGGTGATTTAATCTTAACAAAACACACGGTGGCCAAAAAAATGAACCTAAAATAGATGTTAACTTGCATATGACAAATGCTTGTTAGAATTACAAAATGAAACAAACATACTAAAGATGCTGAAGTTGGAAAGATGGGGGGAAAGTCGTAGGAAATAGCCAGGAGGGCTCCCTCCCATTCCAGCATGCAGGCAAGTAGCTCAGACAGACCCATAATCGAGAGACAAAATTAAGGCGAGAGGTGCGAACTGGCTAGAAGCATTGGCTGGGTTGCCCTCGTCAGCAGCTTAGCAGACGCAGCACCTTCCTTTCCTTCTCTCCCACATGCAGGCCATCTCGTCCTGCTGATTTCTCATCTCCCCGTTTCTGGACTGTCAACCTCTTTTCTTCTGATGCTCACGTCTAAAAATCTTAGAAACATTATTTTTGATGTGGATATTCTAACCGAATAATACACTCTCGTGGTTCAAAAACCAAAAGGCATCAAAATGTGTCTGAGGACATATGTCCTTCCCCACGCCTGTGCCCACCTGCCCAAGTCCCCTCCCAAGGGCAACTTCTGTTTCCAATTTCTTGTACTTCCAGAGATGTCTGTGCACAGATACACAGAGAGAGATTTGTAATGTGAACGGAAGCATACTTTTCAGAGTTCTATACTTTGCTCTTTTCCAACTGACAATACATCACCGAGATGATTTCACATCTGTACATAAAGCATGGCCCTCATTCCTTTTTAACAGCCACATAGTATTCCATTGTGTAAATGAGCCATTGGTTTTATTTCCTATCTTTTTTTGCTCTCACAAACAAGGCTGTGCAGTGCATAACCTTTCAACCTCCTTTTCCTATACCGTGAGTGTATGTGTAGGGTAAATTCCCTGAAGGGATTGCTGGGTCAGAGGGCATGTGTTTTTTGTCTTTTGATAGACATTTGCCAGGTCGCCTCCGAAGCGCTTGTACCAACTTATACTCCACCAGCAACACCAGTACTCCCCCAGCCTCGCCGACATAGTGTGTTACCAAAATTTCGGTCCCTGCCAGCGTGGTGGATGAAGAAGACATCGTGTTTGAGTGAATACATGAGCCAATGACTAAAGCACATGAAAGGATGCAAACGTTCTCCGGAGGGGCTCAAACTCTCCCGTCCTATGACCGTGAACCAGTGCGGATGGCCGGCACACCACCAAAATGATCGTCAGGCAGAGCAGTTTGGGGTGAGCTGCTCTGAGCAGAGCAGAGCCGCTCCCCTGGGATCACTGGGGGCTCCCTACAGGACTGTCAGGGCCCAGAGGAAGGGACCAGCCCTGTCTTGTTCGCTGCTGTTTTCTCCTGTGCCCAGACCCCAGCTTGGCGCTCTGTGGAATGAATACGTTCTCCCTGACCAGCTGGGGGATGGGAAGGGGCAGGGTGCATGGGAGATGGGCAGGCAGCGATCCCAGGATACATTGGTCATCAATGCTGCTCAGGGTGAAGCGGGTGTTGGAGAATCGGGCAAAGCCATCCCGGTACAGCCAGGCCCGAAGCGGGAGGTACTGCGTCCAGGAGGGAAAGGAGGGGGAGGCAGAGGTGGGGGTGAGTACGAGCACTTTTGCCCCTCTGAGCTTTTGCACCTGCTGTTTCTTCCACCCAGAGTGCCCTTCCTTCCTTCCCACATCACCCCTCAAGAATCTGCTCCAGGGTCAGCCTCCTCTGATTCTAGCCCCTCCTTCCCTGGTGCCGGGGGTGGGAAGAAGATGCAGAAGGGAATAGAATGAACAGGCCTCTTCTCTGCTCCACCACCACAAGCAACACCCCAGCTCAGCGTGTGTCCATAATCCCCACCAGACAGTAAGCTCCAGGAGCACAGGGCTGAGCCTGCGTCCCACACCCCTATGTCCGGTGCCCCGCACAGAGTGCCATACCATGAAGGTCTGAACACTGTTGAATGAGTGGGGCGGGGGGGAGCACAGCAACCCCTAGTTTGAGAGCAGGCTCTGGGGCTAGGCTGCCTGGATTTGAACCCCAACTCTGTCGGTCACCAGTGTGTGACCTTGGACAAGTCACTCAACCCTGCTGTATCTGTTTCTTCATCTGTAAAATGAGGATAATAATCGAACCGACCTCCCTGGTTATTAGGAGGACTGAATGATATAAAATCTGCCAAATACCAGGGCTTGGTACTTAGTAGGTGCTCACTAAAAGTTAGCTGCGGTTACCATGGATGGCTGGGTGAATAAAGGACAGGTAGAGGGCAAACCCAGACCCTGGGATGGCAAAAGTGGGATCTGTTTACTCACCCCCCTCTTATCCTCAGATGCCCCGTGGGCTCTCCCAGGCAGACAATATCAGACAAGCTCACACAGGTGCCCCCCCCCCAGAATGGCTTCTGCTCCTTGTCTCCCTCCAGCTGTTCCTTACCTGCGGCTGGAGGAGGGGCCCCTCTTCGCTACTCACCGACATCACCAGCACATAGACGCGCAGGTCAAACTTGCGGCCTGTCAGGCAAGGAGAGAATTCATGCAACAAATATCGACCGTGGGCAGGCACCGCGCTGGGTTTGCAGGTCATAGTAATGGACACACAGGAGTGAATGCCAATAAAAGCACATGAGGCACAAGGAGAAGGGTGACTGGCGGGGAGGGTTAATACCCAGAAAGGCCTGGGGTGCCTGGGTAGCTTGGTTAAACATCTGCCTTCGGCTCAGGTCATGATCTCAGGGTCCTGGGATCGAGCCCCACGATGGGCTCCCTGCTCAGCGGGAAGCCTGCTTCCCCCCCCTTCCCTCTGCCCCTCCCCGCCCCCCAGCTCGTGCTATCTCTCACTATCTGTCTCTCTCAAATAAATAAATAAAATCTCAAGACATGCTGGGGAAAGGCTGAAGACATGGAATCAAGGAAGGCTTCATGCAGAAGGCTCCAGGAAGAGAGGTGCCCAATAACCCAGAAGGGCGGGCCTTGCAGGGGCCCGGAGCCAGCGGAGTGGAAGGAGATGGAGTCGGTGAGGTCAGCGAGGTCAGCGAGGTCAGCAGGGGCCAGCTCATGTGCAGTTTTTGCATTTTGTTTCACCAACCATGGGAGGCCACTGAAGGGTGCCTTGTCCCCCTGGCTACTGTGTTGGAGTGGAGCACAGGGGGCCAGAGCAGCTGTGGGTACCAGTGAGGACAGGAGGGGACAGTGGCCAGAACCGGGATGGAGGTGGTCAGATGGATTCAAGAGCTGCGTGGGAGCCTGATGGAGGTCAAAGGGGGGAGGAGAAGAGAGGGGCACACCCGGAATGGTCTTCGACCTCTGGCTTAACACCCAGGGCTGGAGGGGCTGGGGACATGGGGAGGCTGGGGAATGAGCCCCATGGCAGGAGGAGGGTGAGATTGGATGTTAGGCTCGCTGTTGGGCTTGAGTTGCTGGCAGGTGCCCAAGAGTACATGCCGCAGCCTGTGGGACATCAGGATCCGGGGTGTTAGGGCGAGGTCTCAGCTGTAGACAGAAAGCTGGGGGGCCACTGGCACCTGGAGGGTGTTTAAAGCCACAAGAAAGGATGGGGTCACTGGGGGAGAGAGGGGAGGATGTTGCCCGGGGAGGTGAGAGCAGCCAAGCAGCATAGACGCTGTTCTGGGCAGAGGGGCCGTCTCACCTCCTATCAGGTAGGGATTTTCGATATAGCGCTGAGCTACGTAGTTCTCCACAGGGATCTCATCCTTCTGGTCATCAGAACTTCTTGCATCCTAGTTGTAAAAATAACTATTATTGACATTTATGGAGCATTCCTTGTGTAGGAGGCATTGTGTTAAGCACTCTCCTCGGCGTATATCAACCCCGATCAGGGAAGTAAGTACTCATGTTATCCCCAGTTTACAGATGAGAACCTGAAGCACAGAGAAGGGGAGTGACTTGCCCAAGGCCACACAGCTGTGCAGTGGTACAGCTGGGAAGTGGACCCGCAGGCTGGGCCCAGAGCCTCGGCATTTAACCTCCAGACCTGCGCTGTCCATTTACATTTAAACTGATGAAAAGTAAGTGAAATTAAATACCCCCACATGGATGTACCTTGAGGACATTATGCTAAGTGAAATAAGCCAGACACAAAGGACACATACTGTTTGAGTCCACTTAGATGAGGTCTCTAGAGCCATCAAATCCAGGGAGATGGCAAGTAGAAGGATGGCCGCCAGGGGCTGGGGTGGGAGGAGGGGAAATAGGGAGCCAGTGTTTCTTGGGGACAGAGTTCTGGGAGCAGATAAAAGAGTTCTAGAGGTGGACGGTGGGGAAAGTTGCACAACAGCGTGAATATACTTCATGCCACTAAATTATACTCTTGAAAGTAGTCAAAATGGTAAATTTTATGTATATAAAAGAAAGGAAAAGAAATGTAAAATCCAGCCCTTGAGCGGTACCGGCAGCTTTTCAGGTGCTCAATGTCAACACGTGGCTAGTGGTCGCCATACCGGGGAGAGCGCAGGCACACACTGGTCCACCTCTGTAGAAGGTTCCACTGGTCAGACGCCCAAGGCCATTCCTGTCCCTTCTCTGCCTGCGAGTTCTCCCCCCCGCCAGCCCAGCTCAGGAAGACAGCAGTGCCCTCTCTCACACCTGTGCGGCACCTCACGGTCCGCAAAGCCCTTTCTCACCCACTGTCCCCCTTCACAGTAACCTTGTGAGGAAACCGAGGCCCAAAGGCAAGTGTCACTCACTTGGTGAGGTCATACAATAGCCCAGTGGCAGGGAGCCCCTGGAATTCAGGGTTCCTGGCCCCCAGGGCAGAATTTCCTTCACTTATTGTCACCCCACCCCAAGGTAACCGGGCCTCCCCTTCCTGGGCGCCGGACCACCCCCTACCTGTACTCACATGGCTGCCAGAGGGATTGACAGTGCTCCGGGCCGGCGGGGCCTCTAAGCTGGTCAGCTTCTTGCCCGCGGTGCCCTGCCGGTTTCATGGGCAGAATCAGGACACACAGGGCAGGGGGGAAATTCATCTATTGAGTACCAGCTCGTGCAGCGGGTGCTGGTTGTGTAGGAGTTGGTCATCCTACTCTTCTCCCTCACCCTGCACTGTTAAGATCTCTAAGGTTCAGAGGCGTTCAGCAATTTTCCCAAGACTGCACAGCTGCAGAATGGCAGAGGCAGGGCTGGAACCAGGATTTCCTCTACGCTATGTCTGGGACAGGGATGGGGTGGTGGGGAGGGAGGGAGCTACCTCAGGCTCAGCCTAGGATCTACAGGAAGAGTCGGCCGAACTCTCCCCAACCAGGTGAGCAGGAGGCCCAGGTATAGAGGCCATGTTCTCAGGTTTTAGGCGTATTAACTCATTGCGTCCTCAGAGGGTACTATTACTACTATCCCCCATTTCCTTGGGCACAGAGAGGTGAAGTATCTTACCCAAGGTCACACAGCTATTAAGGGGAAAAAAATCAAGACTTAAACCCGTGCAATCTGGCTTCAGGGACCCCATTCCTATGGGCCTGCCCCAGAGCTTCCTTGCCAGCCCTCCAAGCTTTGAAGGAGGGACGGCGGGGCCCCTCATTGCAGCAAGGGCAGAGGTAAGCTTACCTTCCTCCAGTCCATGATGTCCTTCAGCCTCCGGAAGAGGAAGATGCCCTTCCCTTGGGACCGGGCTACCTGGGGCGGGGGTGAGTGCAGAATGAGCAGCCCTCAGCTCCGTGTTGCTCCTTATTGGCCCCTGTGCCTGGGCCACCTCCCCAGACTTCGCTCACAAAGGCATACAATGGCATGAATAATACAAAAGAGCAGACAATTAAAAAACCATTTCTAACAGTCTTGGGAACACATCATCCAATTCTTTTTTTGGAAATCAATTTGCCTTCCTAATTAGGTTTTGCTTCAGCTAATACTGAAGCAAATACTGAATCAGCCTGCATTTACTGAATCCCAGCATGGGTAATTCATAGCTTCACAGAGTCCAGGGGCTGGGGACATCTTTAATATCATGCAGAGCCGTCAGCACCAAAGGCATTACTCCCTCCTGTGAAATCCCTCGATGATGGTCACCTGCCTGGCCTTGCCTGTCCACAGTGCCGGGGAACTCATTACCCTCCCCCACCTCCCGACGCAGCTCATCTGTTGCAGGATAGCACTAGTCAGCAGTCATCCCAAAGGCATAATTAGGTGACTACTGTGTGCTGGGCATGCTGCTATCGAAGTGATCTAGACCTCACAGAGCCTTCACAGCCTAACCCGTGTTGAGCTCAAATTTGCCAACCTGGCTCTAGGCCTGTAGGGCCTCCTAAAACAAATCTGATCCCTGGGCCCCAGAACAGCCCTTTGATCATCTGTAGCCACTGAGCAGGTCCCCCTGAGTCGTCTTTCCTCTAGCATTAAGGCACCCAGGGAATGCAAACTCTTGTTTCCCTCTGGTCTCCCCTGAGCACGGCCCAGCTGGCCAGTGTGAGGCTCTCTGTACAATGTAGGGGCAGGCAGAGCGGTTGGGCATGGATGGCCAGGTTGCCCACTGCGTGAAGTGCTCCTGGTCATGGAGGCAGTGGGAGCCCAAACCCAGCTCCGCTCTGCCCGCAGCGCCGTGTGCCTGATTCAGGGTTGTGTACACCCAGAAGACGGGGGTGGAGCACAGGTAGGGCTCAGGGGCAGCTACCTGTGCACCGCTATTTTGGAAAGCAGCTCATCAGTGTGCATCAAGGGCTTGCATTGGCTCACGGCCATGCAAAAGACTTAAATCCACTTCACAGAAGAAGGTCACCCAATGTGAACAATGAAAAGTCACTCCGCTTCATTAGTCTCAAGGAAATGCAAATGAAAACCCCAAGAGGATACCACTCCATGCTCCTTGAGAGTGGTTAAAATTAAAAAATGAACAATAGGGTCGCCTGGGTGGCTCAGTAGGTTGAACATCCGACTCTTGGTTTTGGCTCAGGTGACCATCTCACGGTGGTGAGATCCAGCCCCACCTCGGGCTCTGCGCTCAATATGGAGTCTGCTTCAGATTCTTTCTCCCTCTCTCTGCCCCTCCCCACTCTCTCGCTCGCTCTCTCTCTCAAATGAATAAATAAAATCTTTTCTAAAGGATTAAAACAATGAAAAACGAACAACAGCAAGTGTTGGTGAGGCTGTGGAGAAACTGGCACTCACAGCTGCTGGTGGGAGTGCACATCGTTGGAGACGAGCAGCACCTGCTAAAGCTGAACACAGGCACCTGCTCTGACCCAGAAGGGCCTCTTCCTAGGCCCCCACACGGCAGAAACGGGTGCACCCGGGCACCCACGGATGCATCCGGGAACATCCACAGCGGCACGATTCACAATGGCTTCAACCTTGAAACTGCCCAGAGGATAAAGAGTCACGTGGTGGAACAGTATACAGCCGTGATGACTAGCAGTGGGCAGTCACCCGTGTCAGTCGGGATGAATCTCATGGACATAATGTCGATGGAGAGAAACCAGACGCAGCGCAGCAATATCTCATGATTCCCATGATATCAAGTACAAAGGCAGACAGATGCATCTATGCTGTTAGGGCCTAGAGGGGTAGTGAGTGGGAGAGGGTCTGGGGGGAGCTGCCGAGGGGCCGGCCAGCTCTGTCTATGGCCTGGGTGCTTGTTACTCAAGTGTGCTCACCTCCAGAAAATTTACCAAGCTGCGCCCCCATAACTCGGGCATATTCTGTTTACTAAACTTCAATTGAGAAGTTTTATTAAGGCTCCTGCCTTTTGATCTGGGAGCCCCCACCTCCACCTTCGTGGGCTGCCTTCCCTACAGTCATTCCCTTCCTTCTCTCTGGCCGCAGAGCCCACCTCTCACACAGAGGCTGGGAAGACCACACATCTGTTCTGTCAGCCTCTCTTGCAGCTCTTGGGAACCACACGACTAGTTCTGGCCAATGAGACCTACAGAGACGTCTGCTTAGGGCTTTGGGGCTTCTAAGAATGACTTTCTTCCTTGTTAAAAATACCAGGATCAAGGAGGAGGAGAGAGAGGGAGGGAGGGAGCCAGCGATGGAGGGAGGGAGAGAGACGAAGAGATGCCCGGCTCCTTTCCTTCTTTTTCTGAATGCTACAGTCTCAGGAGCCGAGGCCTACAGCTGTCACACATGGTGGGACACGGCAACACATCTGATGGCAGAAAACCAGCACACAGAGGGCTTTTAACGGTCTCAGTGAGCCCATCCCCAAACCTGGAACTTCCTACCTCTGGCTTTCTTGTTAGAGGAGGTAATAAAATGCCTTTATTGTTTAAAGCATTGTCAGTGGGGCGCCTGGGCGGCTCAGTCGTTGAGCAGCTGCCTTCGGCTCGGGTCATGGTCCCAGGGGCCTGGGATCGAGCCCCACATACATGGGGCTCCCTGCTCGGCGGGGGGCCTGCTTCTCCCTCTCCCTCTCCCACCCCCCCTGCTTGTGTTCCCTCGCTCGCTGTGTCTCTCTCTGTCAGATAAATAAATAAAATCTTTAAAAAAATAAAAAATAAAGCGTTCTTAGTATGTTAGCAAACATGCCTGTTCCAAGAGATGCCTTTCTAAGGGGATAATCCTCAAGAGTGGAAAATAAACTTCCTGCTTGGTGATATATCAGGGTTTTTAAGACTGGGAAATCACCTACTATCTAGCTCCAGCAGATTGTAGTTTGCAAAAAGAGTCACAAAAATATTTCCAGTCCCATATGTTTTTCCGGAACCTTGCTACCCCCATCCCCCCACCCTCCATGAAGAGGTGAAGTCGATGTGCCCTCCCCTTGAATCTGGGCGAGCATTTAGGACTGTCTCTACCGATCGCATATGGCAGGAGTGATGTTGTGTGGATTCCAATGCTGGGTCATCCAAGGCAATACAGCATCCACACAGCTTTCTCTTTGGGGGATGGTTGCCCTTGGAACCCAGCCACCATGCTGGGAGGAAGCTCAGGTCATAGGGAGAGGCCCACACGGAGGGCAGCTGAGTCTTCCAGCCCTCCACCCTGGCTGAGCTCCCAGCCAGCAGCCAGCACCGACTTGCCAGCCGAGTGAGTGAGCCAGCTTGGAAGCGAATCCTCCAGCCCTCACGGGAGCCGTCCCAGTAGACCTGGAGCAGCCAGGAGCCTTCCCTGGCAAGTGTTGCCCAAATTGGAGGCTCGGGGGCTAAATAAGACATGACTTTTGTTTCCAGCCACTGAGCTTTGGGGTGCAGCAATAGAACGCGGACACTAACGTTAGGGGAATGGTTTATAATGACAGCAGATGTTTCCTACGCGCCAGGCACCAAGATTTACGCACCTTACCTTGTGAAAGCTTTACCAAAAAATCCTCTACGTAGGCATTAATACTATCCCCGTTTTGCAGCCAAGGAAACCAAGGAACAAGGCCAAGCACTCTGTTCAAGGTTACCCAACCAGCAGGTGACAAACCCAGGTAGTTAAATCTGTGCTTCACAAGCCCGAGGCTCACGCACCTCCCGCAAAGTGCCAGGGAGTACACAGAATCACACGACAGACATGGTCCTACTCCTGGGAGTATCGATCTTACTTGATAATTTGGGAGTAAAACATATTATTTTTCTAAAAAGACAAATCAATTGGAAAATAATATGAATGGATTATGAGAATGAGCCATACTTTGATTTTGCACCACCTGCGGCCACCCAGGGCCCTCGACCCCCCGCGGCCACTGCCTGCCCTGCCCCTGGGGCCGTTCATCACGGGGCATTCACTGGGTGTTACCCATGGGGTTGGTGGTCTACTCAGCTACCCTGAGCAGGGAAAAAAATTCCCTTTTTCTCTGCCAACAAAACCCCATTTGTTTTTTTCTTGTTGTTTGTTTAATGTAAGCTCTACCCCCATCGTGGGGCTCAAACTCATGACCCTGAGATCAAGAATCACATGCTCCCCCAACTGAGCCAGCCAGGCACCCCCAGCAGAACCCCATCTGGATCACCTCTTCCCGTTGGTCCTGCCCCGCTGGGAGTCTGAGCCCTCCTAGGGGTCCCGCCACATGACTGGTTCAGGTGCAGGCCAGCAGGTACCAGGGGAGGTGTGCGGCAGTGACCTCTGGGAAGTTCGTGTCCTCTTCAAAAGGGACGCAAGACCAGGGTGTTCGTTTATTCCTGTGGCAGGTGGAGGGGTCAGGAGGCTAAGCTAAAGGTGTGGCAGCCGCGCTGTGACTGAGAGGAGAAGCCAGCCCACTGGGGTGGGGATTGATGATGCTGTCGAGCTGCCCACCAAGGTTGTTGAGTCGTTCCTGGAACTGGCCTCTCATGATTAAAGGAAATGTCCTGGCGTCCATAAACTTGAATGAGAAGAACATTTTTCATCCTAACCAGATTTTCCCATTGCCTCCCAATTATGAATGCGGACCACAAACCGTAGTAGTATTAGCCACGCCTGTGACTTTACTTGCAGAAGAAATCTCAGTTATTTTTATATCACATTACGGTTGTTGCAGATATCTCAAAATATTGTTTATGCTCATTATGACTTTGAAATTATGGTAACTATGGGCCTGCTGTTAGACTCTCTTCAGCTGTGAATGAAACTTCTACAGCATCATGAGAGGCTCTAGCAGGTCTCTAACGGCAGGACCATGCTGACTGCCGGACTGACGGCCTCGCCTGCAGGGGCTGCTCCTGCCACAGACCGACCGACTGAGGACCGCGGGGACAGGAAGCCTGACCCACTCCTGGGAGACAGGGACCTCCTCTGGCCGGAGGCCTCCCCCAGGCCTCTAGGTGCTTCTCTTCCTTCCCTCTCTCCCTCACTGGGTCTGACAACTGTCCCAGCCCCTGTCCCATTCCCTCCCCCCATTCCTTACAGGCAAAACTCCCCACACGTTCGATCTTGCCTTTGCATCTGTTTCTCAGAGGACCCACTAACCGTTTGTTTGATAACTGTTTTTCAATATAGTTGCTTCCTTTTATAATCAAATTACTTTATCCTTTTAAAAACACTCTTTTGTGACAGTGTGAAACACGATTTTCGCCAGATGCCCAGGAGACCCAAGACGAGCCCCTGCCCTCTTGTTTGAGCTCCCATTAGTCGGCGCTTCTGTTATGTGCTGCCCAAAGCACCCCCGACTCTTTGAAGATTGCAGTGAAAAGGTCTGAGAAGCTCTGGTGAGGTAAACTTGAGAAACGGGAGGTAAAATTCTATTCTTCCTGTCCTGCAATTTGGACAGAGGCCCCCAGAGCTGGGAGCAACCTAGTGGTTGCCCGGGATGCTCACGGCTTTGAGTGAAATGTTAAACCAGATCTGCAGACCACTGATGGACAGGCCCCAGGACTGATGGACAGCCCTGGGCCCTGACAGCCAGCACCTGCCCCCCAACCACGTGAGGGAGGCTAGACAAGCAAGCGTGGTCCCATGGTCTGGGTCCTGCCAACCTCCCACCCACCCAAAGGGCCTGAGCTGGTGGGAGGGGAGAATGTTCAGATGGAAAAGAAGTTTGGACCGATGCAATTTTTACATCACCTGGGCTTTTAAATGGCAAACCCAGGGGCTTGTTCTTACACTCTGAGAGTGACAGCAAAGCTCCGAGATGGGCTGGGGCTCAGGCTCCGTGGGAAGAGGGGTCCCCGAGGGTGGCGTGGAGGGGACGATGCTGCTTATTCCTTTCTGAGTCCAACTCACCCCCTCATTGCCCCTGCTCTGCTTCCACTAAAGAGGAAGATGCAGACTCAGCAGGCCTTAGGGGACCGTGCAGAGGAGGCGCCGGAGAGAAAAGCAGGCCAGTGGCTGCCTTCACGGGCCCCACCACAGCAGCTATGTGAAAACTCGTGTGTGTGGGTGCGCGAGGACAGCCCGTCTCACAGAGACAGGCCTTGTGGGAAGAGTGGAGGGATTTGGGATTTTTTCCCTTTCTTTTCTAAATTTGGAGTAACGTCCTATTTTTTTGTTTTGTTTGTTTTTTACATTTTCCCTACCCCAAAGGAATCCAAACAACAGGACTTGTGATTGATTTTGTACCACCCAGTACTCTAGCCCAGTGGCTCACAGTTCTGTTGCTCCGGAGAACCCTGGCTGCTATATCTGGGACGTTGCTAGAAACGCAATTCTTAGCCCCCAGCCCAGGCCTACTGAATCAGACGCTGAGGGATGGAGGGGGGGCTTTAATAAGCTCTCCAGAAAATTCTGATGCACTCTCAGGCTTGAGAATTACTCCTCTCCAGTCTCAGTCCTCAAAGTGTGGTCCACGGACCTGCGGCAAAGGCCTCACCCGGGAGCTGGTTAGAAATGCGGACTCTCGGGCCCTACGCAGACCTGCTGAATCAGCCTCTGCCTTGAACAAGATGCCGAATGATTGTGGGCACATGGTGGGTTTGGGAAGCACTGACCTAGTGCTTTCCAGGGGCGGGGGGAGAGAAGGTGTTGCCTGGACTCTTGGAAATCACAGCAAGGATGGTCACTGACTGGACACCTAAGTGCCAAGCCCTTTATATGACTTGTATAACTCATGTATTTAACATGTTATCCTTCACTGGATTCTCTCCCAACCCTGGCAGGCAGGTACACTTGTTAATTCCACTTTACCTACGATGAGGATGCAGACTTAGAGGGGCTGAAACCTGCTTGGGGTCAGCCGGCTCATAAGCAGCGGGGACAGAGTTAAAGCCCAGAGCACCCACTCTCTACACCCCGTACCCCAGACAGGGCATGGGAGCTCTGCAGGGGCAAGAACGCCCGCACGCAGCCAAGATACCGCCTCTTAATTACAGCTGCCTTGTGTCTGCCTCTGACAAAGGCCGTGGGCGGGGAAAGGAATCAACTTAATATGCGATTGCTCTTTCCAATTAGCACAAATTACCATTTGTCTGGGAGGATAATGCTGGGAGCTGGAACCGCCCCGTGGGTTGCAGTTCTCGGCTGCCTAACCCCTTCCGCTCTGGCTGCAGAGAAGGGGATGCAAGCCTCCCAGCAGGCCTCACCAGGGACAGGAGCAGGAGGCCCCAGTAAACGCTGCCCGGGACCCAGTTGGGAGCATCCGTGGTTTCGTCTGCCCTTCCGAGCACCTGCGCATTGGCCAGCACCGGCCCTAGTCCCCAGCTGCACAAAGAAGGGCTGCCCCGTACTCTGCTCCCCACAGCTCCCTTCCTGGGGCCTGGCACATTCCCAAACCCGGGAAATAGTAGGGGGCTTTGCTGATGCCCATTCAAGGCTCTGGTGGCTTTGCGGTGAGAAAGCAGTCCTGGCACGAGGAAGGACCGAGGGGCTGGTGGGTACTCTGCCACCTGTGCCCTCCACTCAGTTTCTGGATCCCTGAAGGGCTACCTCTGGATGCAAGGCCTTCGTGCATGCAGTTCCCTCTTCCTGGAATGCTCTTCCCTACCTCTGCCCTTCTCCAGGCTGACCCTCTGCATCCTTCAGGCCACAGCCAGTACTAATTCTTTTGATAACAGTAACAACAGCAGCAGCAGTCCCTTCATGTTGCGCATAACAGCGTTATGCGACAGGTACTGCCGGCTCACTTAGCAGATGGGAAAACTGGGGCACAGAGAAGTTAAGTAGTCTGCCCGAGGTCACACAGCTAGTAAGTGGTACAGGCAGTATTTGAAGCAAAGGGTTTGGCCTCGGAGCCCAGTCTGCCTTCAGAAAAGCCTTCCGGGCAGTGGGGAGCCTCCTACCCTTTCCTCTCTACTGACATTTAGCACAGCTCCACGCACGCAGGTGTCCTCCGTATTGTCTGCGCCCAGCGCCCAAGGAAGGCGGAGACCCACTTCCGACTCGCTGAGGGCTGCGTCCCCAGCGCCTAGGTCTATGCCTGGCACGTGGCAAGTGCTCAGCGAGTATTTATGGAATGTCTGAATACATGGGTCTCAGTCTCCTCATCTTTAAAATGAGGTCATAGCTCCTCCCAAGGGCCATCCTGAGAACCGGGCAGCACAGGTAAAGTGCTTGGCATGGCTTGGCCGTCACCGGTTCCTCTCCTGTCAGGAAGAGAGGGGGGATCTGAGCTCTAGCAAGCCTCGGGATTCCCTGCCCTGGTGTCCTGAGGATCACTTGTTCAGCTAGGAAACACGCATTGAGCACCTACTGTGTGCTAGCTGTCACAGCTGCCGGGTCCACACACTGCAAGGAGGAAACGAAGTCAGCCCTTGGGGGCTTGGGGGAGGCGGATGGTGCATCTGAGGCTGAATTGCCAGGCAGAATTTTGTCCTGGGATGTGCCATGAGGGATCCCTGCTCTGTCTGGTGCCCGGGAAGCCCTCCCTCCCAGCGCCCCCTCCCCCTGCTCCCGGCACTGGGCACGCACAGGCTTCATGATCCAGGTGATTCCCGGGTTTTTGCGGAACTCCTCCACGAACAGGTGGTACTCGCATGGCATCTCAAAGGTTTTGGGGAAGAAGTCACACTTGGCTGCCTCCAGCTTTCCGGCCTCGCGCTCCAACTGTTTCCGGAATCGCTTCAGGTTCTTCACCATATAGTTCTTGCGGGTCAGCTGGGCAGCAGGTGGGCGAGCAGGCCGTTAGTGCCTGTGCCCACTGCCCTGCTCCAGCTCCCAGCCCCAACCTCCCAGCTTGTCCCCGCAGCCTCGGGCGCGCCAAGGAACATTCGCAGTGAGAATAACTCTGAGAGCCTGTTGTTCTATAGTGATCCCCACTTCACAGGCCAGAAAACCAAGGCTCAGAAAGGTTAAGTCAGCTGCCCAGAGTCACCCAGCTAACAGAGGCACAGCTGGGATTTGACCCAGGCCTGTCTGACTCCCAAGTTCATGTTTCTAACCTCTAAGCTGCACTAACCTTTTCAAATCTCAGCATCGTTGGCTCCTCCGGTCCCATCGTTGTGGTCTGGTTCCTCCCGGACCTCCCTCCCATCTCTAGACTCCCAATTGCTCAACTGGCCTCTCCCCTGAAGTCACCATACGGCTCAAACATCCTGCTCCTTCGGCCCTTGCCCCACCCCTCTCCAGTGCTGAAATGCCAACCAGACTGTGACCTCAGTCCCCACCCCAAGGCAGCCTGTCGTTCAGGTACCAGATCCTCACTCTCTCACACTCTTTAGCTCCTCGTGTATCTTGTGCACGTGTTCCCCACCTGGCACATACCCCACATTCTCTTCCACTTTTCCATGCTGGTCCTTTCACTCCCACACCTGCTCATTGCCACATCCAGTGACACGAATTGGCCGACTCAGTGCCCCGGCTGCCCCAGCTCACCTCGTAGTGGTTTCGGAAGTGACTGATGCGCACGTGCTCGTCCATGTAGGTGTGGTCAAAGTTCTCCCGGAGCCAGCTGACGTCACACCAGTAGAAATCCCACTCCCCTTCACTGCGGGTCGGGGGGACAAAGGTCACGACCCGAGGCCCTCAGCACTGCTGGGGGGCCTGGGGCCCAGGGAGGTGCAGCCGAAGGGGGGCAGGCGGCAGCATGTTCAAGAGGAGTCTTCGGGCGGTGGCTGCCCACAATGGGCTCTGTGAGGCCAGAGTGAAAACCAGAGAGATGTTCCTGCACAAATCCAGGCTGCTGGCCTCCTCTGAACAACCAGCAGAGCAGTCGCACGGAGCCCTGACGCCCCTTGGCACCTGTCAGCTGGAGGGAGGAGCCGCTGCCAAGTTAGACAGGGACGCCCCCTCCAGGTCACAGTCCCCAACGCTCCCCACGGCCCACGACAACCAGCCAGCCTCACCTGGTCATGCTACCTGCCTGGGCGCTGGAAGCATCTCTGTTGCCCACCCCCCCTCCCCAAAAGCCCTCCTCCCGCTGGCTCCTCAGAGCAGCCTCAAAAGGTGACAACAATCATCCCTGGAGTCCCCGGATGAGGATGACCCTGCTCACCGAGGCCCTGGCAGCACCAGGATTCCTACCCAGTCATGCCCGGCTCCAAATTCCGACCTGCTTCTTCACCACCACACTAAGGAGAGGGACAGGAAAGCAGGCTAATCGCCCCAATCTGATGGCACAGCTGTGGGGCTGAGAGGAAGCGCTTGCAAACTACGTGGCGGGAAATAAAACAAGGCCTCCATGACTGCTTCCAACTCCTTCTTAAATACGAAACTACAGCTCTAACTGAAGCCCCGTGTGGACGAGACTAGACTCCAGTACCAGGCAGTGGGAACCACGGATTCCCCCATTCACTCACCTGTTTCCTCATTCATGGAGAGGCTGCGAGAACAGGGTGGAGACGAGCCTGGGTCTCCGCACACAGACTGACCAGGTGCTGGCCTAGCCCAAACCCTGACAAGCCGAGTGGCCTCAAACACGGCAGTTTTTACTCTTCTGCGTCCAGCTTTCCCACTTTCAGTAAATGGGTATGATAACAGCACCTCCCGGAAGGTCTGCTCCATGATTCAGAGGTCATGCGTGTAAAGTGCTCAAGAGCGTCCAACAGGCTTAGCTACTTTTAGGCAACAATATTCCCTGAGCACCGTGTCAGGGCAGCTGGTTGCCCTCACCCCTCATAGGTATTTTCTCCTTTTTCTACGGTACCAGAATTCCCGACATTTACCTGGGAACATGTCATCTGCGTTCTCCAAAACAAAGACTACATTTTCCAGATTCTCTTGCAGCTAAGCTAAGTTCTGGCCAAAGTGAGACACTTCTAGGCTGAGCTCTTCAAGGGCAGGGCATGCATTTTCTTGCCTCCTTCCTACCGACTGTGGCTTGGACTCGGGATGTAAGGGCTGGAGCTTCGCCTTAGACCGTGAGGACAAGGGCCTCACTCAAGTGACAGCAGAATGGAGAGATGGAAGCGGATGGATCCAGATTTCTATACCATCTCTGAACTTCCTACATGTGGACTTCAATGGGAGAGATAAATAAACTTCTAGTCTGTCAAAGCCTCTTTTACTTTGGGTCTCTGTTACATGCCTCCAAACCTTAACCCTAACTTACTATGTGCCGGGCATTGGATGCTTGTTCCATCTCAGTATCCCCAGGGCTCAGCATAGAAGAAATGTAGGCTTGGGGTCAAGTAAGTTGTTCAAGGTCACAGAACCAGTAAGTGGCCAGGGAAAAGCAGCCCTTGACCTGGACCTGCCATCACTGGAGGATTCAAGCCAGCTAGTGGGTGATGGCTGCATTCATTGATTCTCCGGAGAGCTCTAGGACACTGGCTATGGAACAGTCCAGCTGAACTGGGTGTGAACCCCACTTTGACCCTTACATGCTGTATGACCTTCAACGATTGGCTTAATACCTCTGAACATAATCATATCTTACTGGATGGTTGTAAGGCTTAAATAAGACAGAGGGTGTCTGTAAGGCGCCTGACACATTTTGAGTGCTAAATAAATGTTGGTCCCTATCACAGCCAAATTGGGACAAGTCCCAGTAGCCACCCAAGGCAACTGGGAGAAAACAAAGGGAGACAAGGATCTGTGAGGCAAAGGGGAGAAGGGATGAGGTTGGCAGGGGGTGGGGAGGTGTCTTACTCCTTTACTTCCACCCATCCTGGCCTGTGGCGAAGGACATCCATGAGAGTATTTATGAGAGTGGTCTTGAATCGGATTGATGCTCTCTGCTCTCTGCAAGACAAAGCAACGGAACGCTTGCTCAGGATCACACAAAAACCTGTATAGGGATGTTCGTAGCAGCTTTATTAATAATAGCCCCAAACTGGGGGACACCTGGGTGGCTCAGTCAGTTAAGCGTCTGCCTTCGGCTCAGGTCATGATCCCAGGGTTCCGGGATCAAATCCCACATCGGGCTCCTTGCTCGGTGGGGAGCGCGCTTCTCCCTCTGCCCGCCGCTCCCCCGCTTGTGCTCTTTCTCTGACAAATAAACAAATAAATAAATAATCTTAAAAAAATAGCCCCAAACTGGTAACAAACCCAGATGTCCTTCAATAGGTGAATGGTTAAACAAATAGTGGTCCATCCATACGATGGAATACTAGTCAGCAATAAAATGGAGTGGAATATTTATACATTCAGCCTGGATGCGTCTCTAGGGAATTATGCTGAGTGAAAAAGGCCAATTCCAAAATGTTATTATATACTGTACAATTCCATTTATATAGCTTTTTGAAATGACAAAATTATTGAAATGGAGAACAGATTAGCAGTTGTTGGGCGTTAAGGACAGGGTGGGGGTGGGAGTGTGGGAGAAGGCAGAGGGAGGAGGAGGGAGTGGCTATGGCTATAAAAGGTCATATGAGGGCGCCTGGGTGGCTCAGTCGTTAAGCTCTGCCTTTGGCTCAGGTCATGATCCCAGGGTCCTGGGATCAAGCCCCACACTGGGCTCCCTGCTCGGCGGGAAGCCTGCTTCTCCCTCTCCCACTCTCTCTGCTTGTGTTCCCTCTCTAGCTGTCTCTCTCTCTGTCAAACAAATAAATAATATCTTTTAAAAAAAAAGGGGTCATATGAGGGACGCTTGTAGTGGTGGGAATTTCCTTATGGATGTCAGTATCCTGGTTGTGATACTGTACTATATAATTTTATTCTCTGTTACCATTGAGGGGAACCAAGTACAGGGCACATGGGATCTCACTGTATTCTTTCTTAGAACTGCATACGAATCCACAATTATCTCAAAGTCAATATCTAATTTTAAAAAATGTAACATATCTTTAGAAGTCTGGATAATGGCTACTTTTGTGGGGGAACGACTGGAAGAGAGTATGAATGGCATTCTGGAGTGTTGGTGATGTTCTGTTTCCTGCATATTAAGTTGATGAAAATTCATGAGCTGTAAACTTATGATGTATGCACCTTTCTGTATACACAACAGAACTCTCTAACAAAATATACCACAAATAAAGTTAAAGGACTGGCTATAGATTAAGATAAAATATTTGCAATGCTTATAATCCATAAGACATTAGGACCAAGTACAAAAAGAGCTCCTACAAATAATTAAGAAAAAGACAAAGAACTCAATAGAAAAATGCCTAAGGAAAAAAAAAAATTGCCTAAGGGATATGAACAGGCAAGTCACAGCAGAGGAAACTTACCAGTATGCATGTGAAAAGATACTCAACTTTCCCAACAACACAGTAAACTAAAATACCAAGGAGAGGATTTCTGCTACAGGTTACAACATAAAAGGATGTGAAACAAGGGGAAAAAAGGTACAAAATAAGTATCACACTTGACTATGGGGCTAGTGGAGAGCAATGGACAAAAGGAAACGTGACCAACTGATTCCAGAGAGAAAGGAGCCCTTCGTAGGGGAGCAGAGAGATGCTGCAGTTTCTAGGTCTGGGGGGGTGTCTGAGTGCGGGCAAGTGGAGGAATGAGCCAGCCGTGGAGGGGAGACTTTGCAGGCACCAGGGGAAAGCAGCTGAGCTTAGACAATACTACGGTGGCCAACCAAATCAAAATCTGGAAGAACCCCCTTCCAAAACCAAACCAAGCCAAACCAAACCAAACCAAAACAACACTGTGGCAAATTTGCTTAAGAAAGAAGCAGTAGAGAACACAGTAAAGCAGAAAGAAAACCCGTATTCCTGCACATTGATGTGGTGTGTGTATTTGGGCAGCCCTGCCAGAGTTGAATCCAAAAGTGAACCAAAAAACCATAAACAAACAAACAAAAACAGAACGGCCGTCCAGCCCCCTCCCTCCCAGGGCAAAAGATCAAAACAGCAGTACAGGAGGCTGGGCTTGGAGTGAACTCAGCGTAATTAAAGCTTCAGTCCAGCCCATGTTCTACTCAGCTTTAGGAGGAACCCAATGATCAGCCCCCAACCTAACTACTAGTCAGAAGAAGGGGCTTACAGTCTCTGGAAAATCAGTCTCTCTCTCTTTCCCTCTCTCCACACATTATTCCTTTTGTAGGTCTGAATCTCCATCTGGTATAATTTTCCTTCAGCCCGAAGAACTTTCTTTAGTGTTTCAATACATGACAAAAATAACAGCACAAAGGACCAGAGGGGAGTAAACAGAGCATGCTGTTCTAGGGGCTCTTAGGTTGTGCGGAGAGTGGAATAATATTGATTCAGGGTAGACAGTGATGAGTTCAGGGTGCATATTGTAATGCCCTAGAATAGCGGTTCTTGATGGGTGGTCCCCGTATTCCTCGGGGTCTTCAGGGGTTCACAAAGCCCTCCCTTTCCCAACTACATATCTTTGTGAGGCTGGATTTTCTTCCTATTCTTAAACCAAAACAACATATCAGAACAGATTGAATCCAGAACATTTAGGAAGCCAAATGTTTTATATTGTGCCAGACCTTAAGGAAATTCACAAAAATGTAAAAACAATGACTACTCATCTTAGTAATATTGCAGGAGGGAGAACACAGTTATAAGTTCATAAAAATACATTATTTATGCTACCAGGTAGAGTACCTTGTTGCTTTTTAAATGAATTAATAAATATTTTTAATTTATCATTTTAAATTTCTAATACGGTATTGATAAATACAAGCCACACAAAAATTAGTAAGAGTCCACAATAATTTTTTAGTAGTAAAGAGATCCTGAGCTCAAATTTTAAGAACCACTGCTCTAAAGTAGTAAAGTCAGGAGTATTTAAAATTTAATCCAAAACAATGAAGAGATACAATTTCAAAATCCATCAGATTGGGGGAAATGTTTAAAATCAGACAAATACCAAGTGTTCGCAAGAATGTGGAAATGATAATTACCCTATAATGCTGATGGCATTGTAAATTGGATAAATCTTGAGAGAGCAATTTGGCATATTAAAACTGTCAGGTACTATTCATACACATTAGACTGGCGAAAATCTAAAAGTCCAAGTTTGGCAACAATGTGCTAAAATTGGAAACTCGGGCGCCTGGGTGGCTCAGATGGTTAAGCGTCTGCCTTCGGCTCAGGTCATGGTCCCAGGGTCCTGGGATCGAGTCCCGCATCGCGCTCCCTGCTCCTTGGGAGCCTGCTTCTCCCTCTGCCTCTCTCTCTCTGTGTCTTTCATGAATAAATAAATAAAATCTTTAAAAAAAATAAAATAAAATAAAATTGGAAACTCTTCCTGTGCTGGTAGAAGGCACTCCGGAGAACCACAAGGCAGTACTTAGTAAAATTGAATTTGCACAGACTCTAGACCCAGCAGTTCCATCCTAGCTCTATACTCTAGATAGATACCCTACATATGCAACTGGGCATTATATGTACAGGAATGCTCGTTTTGGAACTATTAATATTTTTTATAGAAATAACCTGCAGCACACAGTTGGTGGTCCGCCCTTGTCCCTTGGGCATTCTCCATTCCATTGCCAGCACCTGCAGCTCTTTGCCTGAGGGCTTTTTCTGGCCCCCAGAGTCTGCTCAGCCAGTGCTTAAAGCAAATCCAAAGTGCCCCTCCCCCAACAGCACACAACTAATGACAACTGGACTTGATGGATAAATCTTCCAGCCCCTCATTGCTCAGTTGGGATGAGTCTGCAGTGTGTTTTGCACTATCTCCTAGGAATCCCCAGTGGGACTGAGCCCACCTGCCCACCGCAATAACCTGTCGGTAATGCACCTTTTATTGGTTTCTTTCCCTTAGCTGTCTCACATCCTCACTTCCCTGCCAGTGCTTACTGGAATCGCCTTCCAACCTTCCAGATAAACCGCTCAGGGTCCGCTTCTGGAGGGAATCAATACTAAGACACAGCCTAAAGGCCTTTCAACAGGAAGTAGATAAATAACCAGTGGTATACAATGGAACACATATAGTAGTTAAAATGTATCCAGATCTACATGCACCAACATGGATAAATACTGAAAATACAGCTTTGTGTGACATAAGCAGCCCGCAGAACAATAATAGTATAACATCACCTATGTAACTTAGAGTCCTAGCCTCATGCAGCCTGGGGGGTCCAGGTCACACAATTCCGGTCAGTACGATAAAAACGTACGATTGCTAAAGAGGGTGCGTTCTTGGAAAGCATGGGTTCTTTTGATTAAGATAAAGAGAGAAAGAGATGCGGCTTGAGACTTCCTCCCCCACTTCTTCCCGTCTTGATCTTGCCGTGAAGGCTGGGGCTATAGCAGCTACTTGGTGTCCATAGGGAAAAGGTCAAGACCAGCACGGAGACACAACTCTGACGGAGCTGAACCACTGCACCAGCCCTCCAGGCTCTTTGTTACATGAGGAAAGTTAATACAATTTTTTTTTTTTTAAAGATTTTATTTATTTATTTATTTGACAGAGACACACAGAGAGAGGGACCACAAGCAGGGGGAGTGGGAGAGGGAGAAGCAGGCTTCCCGCCGAGCAGGGAGCCTGATGTGGGGCTCGATCCCAGGACCCTGGGACCATGACCTGAGCTGAAGGCAGACGCTTAACGACTGAGCCACCCAGGCGCCCCTACAATTTTTTTAAAGCTGCTATTGGTTGGATTTCCTATTGCTTGTAGCTAAACACATTTCTAATGGGTGTCTGTCCTAATAAAACAGATCCTGTTAACTGAAGTGCCCTATTTTGGGTTGGGGCGGGAGTGGGTGTTGAAGTTGAAGGTCAGCGTCTGGGATTGTGCTTGCATTGCTCTGATGGGTGCTGCATGGCGGAAGGGTCAGAGGCCACACAAGCCCTCCTCGGTGGCGGTGCAACCAGAAGCAGCTTTAGAAAGCGGAGAAATATCTAATGAAATAGACTATGTGCTACAGCGTGTGCGATGTAACCTCCTCTGACTCCCCACAGAAAACGTCAGTCAAGTCTACATTGCTCCCTCCTGCTCCGTGCGAGTGGATTCCCTTTAGGGGATCCGACGAGGTGCTGAGTTCTGCACCCGGTTACAGCCGCAGAGGGAAGCATAGGATCAGGGCAGAGATGACACTGGGGTTACCAAGTCATCACATGGTTGTTGAAGGAGACAGGAGGGCATAGGTACAGACAACATGGGCCCTGGAGCCCGGCAAGCTCTGTCACTAACTGATCCTATAGTCGTGAGCGAGTTCCCTAGCCTCTCTGAGCTTCAGTTTCCCCACCTATAAAATGGACCCAATAGTAGTATCTATTTCAAAGGATTGTGATACGGACTCAAGGAGTTAATACAGCCGGGCACATGGTAAGTGCTCAGTGATGCAGAGCTGGATAAAGGGGAGGAAGGACGGTAGGGAGGGAGGGAGGAAGGAAGGAAATTACTTTTGTGTTTATTAGACTGCGTGGGGACACTCACCGCTCTTTTCCCTTTGACAATCCATGGCCCTTGTAATTTTGATTCTGCAAGGAGAAAAGAAAAGTGATGTAACTGGTTCTGCATATCCACCCTGCCGTCCCAGCTCAATTTACTGCAGATATTAAAATGCTCATACCATCAAACACAACACTGCCCAGATCCTTAGGCGTGAAGGACCAGCCTGGCCAAGTTCACATTGGTCAACATGTGCCCAGCAGCTTGGTCCTTGGAATAAATCACCAAGCATTCAAGGTATCAAATCGCCCCACTTCACAGGATTGTTCCACAGGCATGACCAGTAGAGTGAATACCTAGTTTTCAGTGCTCCAAAGGTCCAACCCTGAACCCCAGTTTTGAGGGCTGAGCTCAGCCAGCTCTGTGAGAAGGAACTGAAACTTGAATATTTGATTAGATCCATGGTCCAGAAGGGGAATGAATCAAAGACTCAGAGTGAAGTTAATTTCTGCACCCAAAATGGACCTTTCAAATCCTCAGTGGGGGTTGGGGGTGGGTATTATTTTGCTTCTACCACGTCTAAAACAGTTTGGTCTTTAGTCCTGGTAAGACTGATCCCTAATGGCAGGTATGAAAAAAGAAATCAAAATTGGTCTTGTGCAGGATGACCATTGCAACTTGGACAGACTTGTCATCTGCATTAGTTTTCTATTACTGCATAACAAATTACCACAAACTTGGCGGCTTAAAATAGTACAAATTTATGTCTTGCAGTTTCTGTGGGCCAGGAGTCTGGGCATGGCTTAGCTGGATCTTCTGGCCAGGTCTCACAAGGCTACAAGCAAGGTGATGACCTGGGTTATGATTCTCATGCATGGGCTTGGGGTCCTTTTCCAAGATCATCCAGATTGTTGGCAGAGTTCAGTTGCTCGGGATTGCAGGACTGAGGTCCCTGTTTACTTGCTAGCTCTTGACTGGTGACTGCTCTCAACAACTAGAGGCCCCCTGCAGTTCCTTTCAACTTGGCCCCCTAGGCAGTTCACAACATGGATGTTTGCTTTCCTCCAGGCCATCAGGAGTTCATCCCTCTGACTTCCAATCCTCCCCACTCCAGGTCAGCCACAATAGAGTCCTATATGATGCATGGTACATAATCACGGTAGTAACTATCCCATCAAAGTCACAGGCTCTACCCACACTCGAGGGGAGGGAATTATACAAGGTGTGTACACAGGGGGTGGGAATCTTGGGGGCCTTCTAGAATTCTGCCTACCACGCCATCTTATCCCTCAAAGAGCCAGTAGAAGGGATAGAGGATACTACTTTATGAAACTGACAGAAATTAGCCCCCGACAAAAGCACGTGAACTCTTTTTTAAATTTTATTTTATTATGTTATGTTAATCACCAGACATTACATCGTTAGTTTTTGATGTAGCGTTCCATGATTCATTGTTTTCGTATAATACCTACTGCTCCATTCAATACGTGCCCTCTTTAACACCCATCACCAGGCTAACCCATCCCCCCACCCCCCTCCCCTCTAGAACCCTCAGTAAGCCCGTGAACTCTTTTTTTTTTCAAAAACGAATTTTAATCTTTAATCTTTAGTTTGATTTAACATTGCTTTTAGTACGATGTTGACACCAGCTGTGCGGAAAGGGCTCTGGAGAGATGTTCATAGCAGGACACACCTGCGGCTCTTCTTCGGTTCGGGAGGCTCCAGGGCAGCCAGTATTGCTTCGTCAAATACATTCTTTAGGCCTTTCTGTGTGAGTGCAGAACACTCCACATACTTGACGGCCTTCAGGTCACGGGCCAGCTTTTCAGCAGTCTCTGGAGTGATAGGCTTCTGTTTGTTCTTGGCAAGTTTCTCAATCATAGAGGGGTCATCTCGGAGATCAATTTGGGTCCCAACAAGCAAGAAAGGAGTCTTTGGACAATGGTGAGTTATTTCAGGCACCCACTTTTCCTTCACATTTTCAAACGAGGATGGAGAGACCACTGAAAAACAGACTAGAAATACATCTGTTTGTGGATAACTCAGCGGTCGTAATCTGTCATAATCCTCTTGCCCTGCAGTATCAAAAAGTCCGAGAGTATATGGCTCTCCACCAATCATAACTGTGACTGCATAGTTGTCAAAAACAGTCGGTACATACTCAGATGGAAATTTGTTTGTTGTGTAGGATATCAGAAGACATGTTTTACCAACGGCACCATCGCCCACAACAACACACTTAATTGTCTGCATTGCTGAAACAGTTTTGTATCCACTTTAAATATTTCAAATTCGATGATGACCTCAGCTTCTCCGCCGGGGCGTTTGCCAGCACGCGAACTCTTATCCCAGTAGTACATTCAAGTCCCTCCAACTACCCCAGCACTAGTAAGGTGTCCTTCTCTTTTTTGATTATATCTTTTTTTTTTAAGATTTTATTTATTTATTTATTTGAGAGAGAGAATGAGAGACAGCATGAGAGGGAAGAGGGTCAGAGAGAGAAGCAGACCCCCCGCTGAGCGGGGAGCCCAACGCGGGACTCGATCCCGGAACTCCAGGATCATGATCTGAGCCGAAGGCAGTCGCCTAACCAACTGAGCCACCCAGGCGCCCTTGATTATATTTTTTATACTCTTTCATGTTTTCAGTTCTATTTCCCTTATGTTTATCCAGTCTTTGGTTGAAAAACTTTTCCTGGGGCACCTGGGTGGCTTAGTCAGTTAAGTGTCTACCTTCAGCTCAGGTCATGATCCCAGGGTCTTGGGATCAAGTCCCACATCGGGCTGCTTGCTCAGCAGGGAGCCTGTTTCTCCCTCTACCTGCTGCTCCCCTTGCTTGTGCTCTCTCTGACAAATAAATAAATAAAATCTTTAAAAAATAAAAAAGAATAGGAAAACTTTTCCTGTCCTCACTGAATTGCATTGATTCCTCTGTTAAAATTCAGTGGACTGTATATGTAGGTCTATCTCTAGACTCTTATTTGTCTACCCTTATGTTGCTACCACACTTTTTTTTAAAAGATTTTATTTATTTATTTGCAGAGAGAGACACAGTGAGAGAGGGAACACAAGCAGGGGGAGTGGGAGAGGGAGAAGCAGGTTTCCCACGGAGTAGGGAACCCAATGCGGGGCTTGATCCCAGGACCCTGGGATCAGGACCTGAGCCGAAGGCAGATGGTCAATGACTGAGGCACCTGGGCGCCCCAGCTATCACACTATTTTAATTACAATAGCTTTCTAGTAAATCTTGAAATCAGGTACTATAAGTCCTCTAACCTTGTTTTTTTCAAAATTGTCTTTGCAATTTGGGGTCATTTGCACTTCAATATAAAGTTTAGAATCAGCTTGCTGGTTTCTACCAAAAATGTGTGTTGGAATTTTATTGGGATTGTACTAAATCTATAGATTTTGAGAAGTGACATCATCAAGTATTGAGTCTTCCAATCCATGAATATGGTCTATCTCTCCATTAATTTAAGTCTTCTTTAATTTCTTTCCACAATATTTTCCAGAAGTCTAGGACGTTTTAAATTAAATTTACTCATAGGTATTTGATTTTGTGATGGTATTTTAAATAATACTTTTAAAATTTCATTTTCCGGGGCGCCTGGGTGGCTCAGTCGGTTAAGCGACTGCCTTCGGCTCAGGTCATGATCCTGGAGTCCCGGGATCGAGTCCCGCATCGCATCGGGCTCCCTGCTCAGCGGGGGATCTGCTTCTCCCTCTCGTGCTCTCTGTCTCTCTGTTCTCTCTCGCAAATAAATAAATCTTTAAAAAAAAAATTTCATTTTCCAATTATTTGATGATAGAATATTGTGGTAGAATAATGCTCCCCCAAAAGATGCCCATGTCCTAATATCCCAGAACCTGTAAATACCTTACATAACAAGGGAAAATTAAGGTTGCAGATATAATCAACTGACTTTAAAATAGATTATCCTGGATTATCTGAGTGGGCGCAATGGAATCACTCTTTTTTTTGTTGTGAGAGGGAACTAAAGAAACGGGGGTGCCAATTCATGAGAAGTAGAGCACGGGATAAGAAGCAGGCTAGTGGGGGGGGTGCTGGAATCTAGAGTAATTCATTTCCCTTCTTTGGGTCACATTTTTCCCATTTTAAAGTGGGGGAGTTGGCCCGTGCACTCTTAAGGACAGGAATTTGTCTGATTCACCTCTGTGTCCTTATTGGTCAGCACTGGGCTCAGTTTAAAGAAGGCACTGATTAGCGTTTTAGGATGAATGTATTAGGAATGGATGGATGGGTAGGCAAACGGGAGGCGGGATGAGCGTAACCTCTAAGAGCTTTTACAGGTCAGGAAATCGAAAATTCTGAGGGTCCCCCAGGGTCACAGAAATCGCTAAGTACAGTTTAGAATCCCAGATTTTCGTAACTTTCCCGCCAGCGAGCCGGGTAGTGGACTCGCGCAGCACCTCCCGCGGCGCGCGGCCAACCGGGGCTTGAAGTCTTTTCTCTGTATTCATCGTTTTCCTCCCACTCTATCCGGAATCACTCCGCGGGGACCCCCAAGTCGGAATGCCTCCGTGGCTTCCCTCCCTTCTCTAAGGACGATTAAAGCATCTGGAGTCCGCGGCACTCCTACCTTCGGGCGCGACATGGTACGATTCCCCAGGGCCGGACCCAAACCGCCGCAGCGGCACGCGCGAGCCTCCGCGTCCCGTTGCCAAGGCGACGGAGGGCGCCCGCATCCGCCGCTCTGATTGGATGAGCCAAGGGCCCGCCTCTCCGCGCGGGCTAGTGTCCAATCCCAGCCGCTGAAAGCTTTTGCGCGCCGCGGCGGCCCAGACCCCCTTACTCGCTCGACCTTTCTCTCCCAACCCCTCGCTTCCGCGACCCTGGGGCGCACCCGGCCAGAGACTGGCTGCCCTCGGCGGGCACTGACTGCCCAGCGCCTCTTCCAGCTGCGTTTCGCTAGATCTACGAGCGCTCAGAATGAAAAGCTCAGCTTTTGGTAAATGTAATGGTACTAAGTTTCCTTACTCGGTCCCTCACTGAGTCGCCTTATCATTTGGTTAGTTGGTAACGCGGCCAGTTATTCTGCTTTTTTCGGGCACTCTCTAATTCTTAGGCACCAACTTGATGCCAGGATTCACCTCAACTCCTGTAGTAGCCTCCTGACCAGTCTGTCAGTGCCCACTCTTGCCCTAGCCATTCCAGTTCATTCTTGGCACTGCAGTTGAAGAGCACAAATTTGTGAAGAACACAAATCCGATCCGGCCTCTCCACTACGTTAGCAATTTATTCGTCATTGCACCCTGTATTGGCTCCCTGCCTTTCCCTGCCTCCCTTCTCCACTGCCCTGGGACCTATGCCAACCATAGCTGATTAGAAACTGTTAAAAATTTTATTGTTTGTTTCATAGCAACAAAATATAAGTTATGTAGGAATATATTTAATAAAATATATGCTAGACATTTTATTAAGCAACAAATTCTTAATAAGCCTCTAGTTTATGGCATGCCTCATTCTTGACTCTACGAGGATATAGCCCTGAACAAAACCAACAAGTATCTGCCCTTGCGGAGTTTATATTCTCATAGGAAAAATTAGAAAACATTGAAGGATATTAAAGAAGCCCTGAATAAATGGAGGGATATACATGTTCATGGACAGGAAGACTCAATATTAAAAAGATGTGTATTTTTTTAAATCCAACAAGGGCTTTTGAGAGACCTTCTCAACCCAAGAGAGGCAAATATCAATGGAATAATATAGGGATCCTAGAAATAGATACAGGTGTGTGTGTGTTTTAACTTTATGTACAATAGACGTGGCATCATAAATCAGTAAATGGCATTGAGAAACTGACTTTCCATAGGAGTGAAAAATAGATGCCTAATTCAAGCAGGTTAAAGAATAAATATGACAAACAAATACTTCAGGCTGTTAGAAAAAATATTTAAGTATATATATAATATTTTATGATGTGAGGGTGGGGAAGGATTTCTTTCTTTTTTTCTTTAAAGATTTTATTTTTTATTTATTTATTTGAGACAGAGAGAATGAGAGACAGCACGAGAGGGAGGAGGGTCAGAGGGAGAAGCAGACTCCCCGCTGAGCAGGGAGCCCGATGCGGGACTCGATCCCGGGACTCCAGGATCATGACCTGAGCCAAAGGCAGTCGCTCAACCAGCTGAGCCACCCAGGCGCCCTTTCTTTCTTTTTTTAAGATTTTACTTATTTATTTGACAGAGAGAGCACAAGCAGGCGGAGCGGCAGGCGGAGGGAGATGGAGAAGCAAGCTCTCCGCTGAGCAGAGAGACCGATGCGGGGTTTGATCCCAGGACCCTGGGATCATGACCTGAGCTGAAGACAGACGCTTAACCGACTGAGCCACTGAGGCACCCCAAGGATTTCTTAATAAAGCACAACTCATAGCGGAAAAAATTAATCTGTGGGTCTCTCAAAATCTGAACTGCCATACAACGAAAGACATTGTAGGTTCAATTAAAAGACAAGCTACATAAATAAATAATTAAAATGTTTAAAAAGGGGGTGGGATGCCTGGGTGGCTCAGTCAGTTAAGTGACTGACTCTTGGGGTCATGGGATCGAGCCCAGAGTCAGCTTTGCTCTTGGTGGAGTCTGCTTGAGATTCTCTCCCTCTCATTCCCCCTCTGCCCCTCCCCCCCTCGTGATCTCACCTGTGCCTTGCTCTCTCTATCTCTCTGAAATAAATAAATAAGGCACCTGGGAGGTTCAGTCAGTTAAGCTTCGGACTTCAGCTCAGGTTGTGATTTCAGGGTCCTGGGATAGAGCCCCAGGTCGGGCTCCCTGCTTGGCAGGGAGTCTGCTTGTCCCTCTACCTCTTTCCCCCACTCATGCTCTCTCTCTCTCTAAAATAAATAAATATATAAGATCATTAAAAGACAAGCTACAGACTAGGAGGCAATATGTGCAACGTATATAACAAAGGGCTAGTACTCAAAGAACTACAACTATTAAGAAAAAGACTACCCCACCTCACAAAGAAAAGAAAAATGGACAAAGGATATGAATAAAGAACTTTCAGCAAAAGAATCTCAAATAGCCAATAAGCACATCAAGATATGTAAATCACAACAATTATAAAATATTTTATACATATCACCTAGACAAAAATAAAAACACGTTCAAAGTCAAGTGTTTTTGAAGATGTGGGGAAACTGAATCTTTATATGCTGTCGGTAGACTCACACTTTAGGAGGCAATTTGCAATATCTCATAAAGTTGAAAATGCACACAACTTACCACCTTGATTCCACTACTGGACATACATCCTATAGGCTCTCTGAATACAGCTGCACAGTCCAGGGACTATCACTTTGGAGCTAATGTGCAAGGTGACATTCCTCCCTAAAGAAATTCTCATCCTTGTTCATAGGTCATATGTACAAGGATGTTCATTGCAACATTCTTTATAATTATGGGAAATACTAGAAACAATCTAAATGTCCACTCATAGCAAGATGGATTAAGAAAATGGAATATATTCTAAAAAAAATACTATTCATTGATAAAAATTAATGGTCCAGATCTATATCAACATAAAAATATCCCCCAAACCTACTGTTGAATGAATAAAAGAGAGTTGGAGGGCACCTGGGTGGCTCAGTTGGTTAAGCGTCTGCCTTCGGCTCAGGTCATGATCTCAGGGTCCTGGGACCGAGCCCCATATCAGGCTCCCTATTCAGTGGGGAGTCTGCTTCTCCCTCTCCCTCTCCCCCCTGCTCCTGCTCTCTCTCTCACTCCTGTTCTCTCTCTCAAATAAAATAAATAAAATCTTTAAAAAATAAGAGTTGTAGAATGATAAATATTTTTAAAGGTTAAAATTTGTATTAATTATAAACATATGAAAGTATATTCTAGATACTTATGGGTATATTGGTATTAAAAGTTTAAAAATACAGACTAGAGGGGCACCTGGGTGGCTCAGTCAGCTAAGTGTCTGCCTTTGGCTCAGGTCATGATCCCAGGGTCCTGGGATGGAGCCCACCCCACCCCAACCCCGCTCAGCAGGGGGCCTGCTTCTCCCTCTGCCCCTCCTTCCCACTCGTGTTCTCTCTCTCACTCTCTCTCAAATAAATTAATTAATTAATTAATTGATATTTTTTAAAAATACAGACTATAAAGATGAACACCAAATTCACAATGGTTTCCTCTATGGAGAGTGAAGGAAGAGGAGAGAGGAGAGGAAACTTCAACTACTTTAAGTTTATTTGGAATGTTTTGTTTTACTGAAACAACACAGTTGAAGCCAATAAGCCAAAGTATTCTTATCTGGATTTATTTATTCTTTCTTTCTCTTTTTTTGCCCTAATAAGAAAAAACTATCAGTACTACAGGGCGCCTGGGTGGCTCAGTCAGTTAAGCGTCTGCCTTCTGCTCAGGTCATGATCCTATTAGGGTCCTGGGATCAAGTCCCCCATCAGGCTCCCTGCTCAGTGGGGAGTCTGCTTCTCCCTCCACCTCTGCCCATCCCCTCCCCTCTGCTCGTGCTCTCTCTTTCTCACTTGCACTCTCTCTCTATATATATATAAATAAATAAATAAAATCTTAAAAAAAAAGAGAGAATATCAGTACTACCCTAGAGGAAGAAGTTTAGGATGCCTTGGGAATGCATAACGGTGGGGTCTAACCATTTTTAACTGGGGTCAGTTAGTCTGGTAAAGGGGATGGGAAGAGCATTCCAGGTGGAGGGAATGGCATGTGCAAAATTGGAAATCAGAGAGAGTGAAGCATATTTGTGGAAATGAATGCAGATCAGTGGCCAGGAAAAAGTGGGGAAGAGGAGAGAGATGAGGCTGCCAAACCCCTATGTTGTTGTTTCCTTTATTACAAATGTGGAAACAGAGCCCTAGTGAGGAGAGCAGAACCAGGGCCTCCTAACTCCCTGTCAATTGCTCCATGATAACAATAATGACAGTGATAATAATGATGATGGATTATGTTGCTGGTCTCTCTACTAGGTACTTGAAATATATCCTCTCATTTAATCTCATTACAGACCTATAGCGGATTTTCCTCCCCATTTTACAGATGATGAAACTGAGACTCACGAAATAACGAAAGTTAAGAAATTTGCTCAAAGTCACAGAGGCAGAAGCCAGATCCCACGAGGCCTTGCGTGCGATGCTAAACAGATTGAACTTTTTCCTAAGGGCATTGGTGAGTATATTAGGTTCCTATTGCAGCTGTAATTACCACAAACTGAGTGACCTAAAAGAACACAAATGTATGAGCTTATAGTTTTTGAGGCCAGAAGTCTGAAGTGGGTTTCACTAGGCTAAGATTAAGGTGTTAGCAGGGCTGGGTTCCTAGGAGGCTTTAGGAGAGAATCTGTTTCCTTGCTTTTCCACCTGCATTCCTTGGCTCATGACCCCCTTCCATCTTCAAAGCCAGCAATCATAACACTCCCGACCTCTGTTTCTACCATCAGATCCCCCCCCCCAACTCTATACTCCTGCCTCCCTCTCTCACTTATAAGGACCCGGGGAATGACCTTGGGCCCACCCGAATAATCCAGGACAATCTTGCCATCTCGTGGTCAGCTGATTAGCAACTTTAGTTCCATCCACAGCCTTAAATCCCCCTTCCCATATAACATATTAACATTTTCTATGAATTAGAGCACATACATCTTCGGGGAGACCGTTATGTTGCCTACCACAGTGAACCACGCTGA